TTCAAGCAAATGCCAAAGCCTTCCAGCTGATTTTCAATTATCTTCTTGTGTCCCAAGGGTTTCAAGACATCCAGAACAATCAGGATAAATTACATGCAGGGGCCATGGTAATGACTTGATGACCTCTACCTTTCCCATCCTTGGCACCTTCAGTGATACCTGGGAGATCTAGGAGCTGGATCTTGGCACCTTTGTACCTGATGACACCAGGCACAGTAGTCAGAATAGTGAACTCATAGGCTACCACCTCACAATACACTCCTGCCAGGTTACTCAGCAGTGTTGACTTCCCCACAGAAGGAAAGCCCACAAACCCAGTTTGAGCATCACCTGTCTTGGTCACATCAAAACCTTCTCCTGGCCCACCACCACCACCACCACCACCACCACCAGCACCACCACCACCACCACCACCACCTTTTTGTGTAGTGAGTTCTCTACGAAGCTTAGCAAGGTGAGCCTTAAGCAGCGCTAGGTGATGTGCTATGGCCTTGCTCTTTTGAGTCTGAGCCATCTTGGCTCTGATCTCTGCAATCTTTGCTAAAGTGCTGCTCATGGTGGCAAGTCCAGCGGTACTCAGTAGTCCCCACCCTAGCTGTCTCCCCTCACACACACATCGCTGACCTCACACACCACACAGCCAACCTATTTATTTATTTATTTATTTATTTATTTATTTATTTATTATTTTAGGGAAGGGTCTACAGGGTGTTCAGGGTTTCACTACTAGATTTGGCGTGTAGTGATCCACCTGTTTACAGCCTCCCAAGAGCTGGGATTACAGGAGTATTTATTTATTTTTTATGTATTTAGTACAGGGTCTATAGGGTCTTAATACACAGCTCAAACTTGTAGTGATCCTCCTGTTTTCAGCCTCCCCAAGTGCTGGGATTATAGGTATGTGCCACCATGTTCAGACTCTGCCATTGGCTCAGTGCACCTGGGGGCAGGCACGGCCTGTGGTATATTTAGGGTTTTTTATTGTTGGGTGCACATGTATATTTATAATTGTCATTTTCTCTGAATTGACCCATTTCTCATTATGTAGCATCCTTCTTTATCTCTTAGAATACTTTATCCACACTTCAGATGAAGATGATAAATGAATATGTTGTGCTTCTCAAATGCTGAATTGCTGCCTTAGACTCAACATCAGTTGTGTTTGGTCTTCTGAAAAAAAATAATCCTCAGGTGTTCTATATGCCCCAAAATCCTTCCTCATGCCCATCTTGGCACTCAGTTTGACCCAAAAACTAAACTCATTTCCCATCCAGCTTAGGCTCTGACTGTGACCTCCAACCTTTGTCCCACAGCTCAATGTTTAATGAGCATGTCCAGTCTTATGCTAAATAGCTCAGGCATAAGAAATGACTCAGTAAGCCTACAATTGGGAGCAATTACTTAGGTCATGGATAATGGACAGGAATCTTCTGTCTTGACTACTGGGAAAGAAAGAAAGAGCTTGGGTAGACCCACCTGAGGTTGTCTATGGGGTCTACTCTACTGACTTAATGAAGTCAGAGCTAGCTAGCTATGAAATCTCTACAGAATGACCATGAGAGGGTAGCTGAGGCTTAGAGCAGGTGTGAAGTTTACAGTTGAGGAGCTGGAAGGTACTGTAAGAACTCACAGTGATCAAGTCCTCATGGCAAAATGGCCAAGGGACCTTCAAACACATGGTTGATATCTATTAGCTATAAGAAGGAAAGCCACCGAAACTATAGCTGACCACAGATGCATGAGGAATCCAGGATTCTTAATCACTTTCTTGCCATTGAGATACAATATGCAGCACCTACAATTAAAGGAAAGATTATTTTGGCTCATGATTAAAGTCCCTGGTCAGCTGGCTCCATGGCAGGATCAGCATGGGAGAAAGACCTGGGTGGAGGAAAGCTGCTCACATCAGGGTGATGAAATATCAGAGCATGAGAGGAGCCAGGGAGGGAGAGATAGCTTTCTGGATCATGACACAAGTGACCTGTCTCTTCTGATCAGCCTCAGTCTCCTAACAGCAAGTCAACTATACCATCCCAATGTACAATTGCTTTCCAAAAGTGCCACCTATGAGCACATGAGGCCTTGAGCAGCAGGTGGCCCCCTTGGATCATGGCTGCAGAGGCCTCTGAATGCCTGAATGGTTGAGCACCATGACATAAATCTCAAATCAATTCCTTAGCTGGGTTTCTCCTCCCCAAAGTCTTTCAGTTTTGAACCTTTGAGCCTGGGAAGGGTGTGTCATGGGATGCTCTCATGACATCCTTCTTTCCTATTGTCCTGATGTAAACTACTTGACTTCTAATGCTTACTTTTGAGCAACCAAACTCTCCTCTGCTCAACTTGATGAGCAATTTCTTTCTGGAAAAACTGAAAACTTTTAAAATGAGGCTTTTGCTCCTGTTTCTCAGTGTAAAGCTCACTAAAAGTTTTACTTGTGATACATCCTGCAATGTTGAATGCCTTGAAACTTCCTGTCAGATTAGTCTGCCACTCGTAATCTCAGTCTCCCACAAAGTTTCAGGACATGAACAAATTTATGTGAACAAATTCTTTTTTCTTTCTTTCTTTCTGATGTTAGAGTTTTATGTTCTATAAGATTAACTGTACAATTATACAATTACTTAATTCCACATGTTGTAGATGAAGATTATCAAGGGGGAAATCATGATATTAACAGATGAAAAGGGAATCCAAATTCTTACTCTTGGAATGAAAACTGATCAACTCTTCTTGACATACTGGGTTCCTTGATTTAAATTCACAGAGAGCAAATTGGTCAAGCAATGGTCGTGACTCATTCGCATGGCTGATGCTGACAAAGGATCTATAAACTGCAGTACAGGGTTTCAGGGTAAATCTGAGGGGATTTGACTGACCTTGTCAGATACAGAAGTTACATTTCTTGTTATATAGGTCTTGCTGTATCTTGGTCTTAACCATCCAGCAGGAGGGTGTAAAAACGAGGTATAAAAAGTAAAACCATATTAATATGCTGAGCTGTAAAAGGCTCAAGTCAACAACTTCTGACATTGCCAGTCCTACGGATAACCCACTACTATTATGGACTACTGGACTATATTGGAATACTTTGCTGAATTGACATACCTACAATATTTAAATGGCAATGGAGTACTCATCTCTGACAAAAGTAAACAAAAAAGGGATACAAATGAAGGACCATTTTGTATCTGTATATACAGAATAGGATAGATATACAGCTACTTTCTCTTAATTCAATGAGAAGAAAGATTTGTACTAATAGTGTTTGGACAGAATATCATGTCTGCATCTTGTACCATGAATAACCACTATGAAGACAACAATATGCCATGTATTAATTGTTAAAACTGTCCTACTAATCAGTTTTGAAACTCCCATTACTATTTATTTCTCGATAAAATTAATCATAAATAAATAAATAAATAAATAGAAAGGTCAGAGATTTGGTAGCACTAAGGACTGGGGGTCTACTAGGCTGAGCCAATCCCAGTGTCTTGACATACTCTGACTGTTCAAATTAAAAAATAAAACCTTTCTAAGATTCTTGGACACTGGAGTAAATGATATTATTATTGCAAAAAAAGATATGGCCTCAAACTTGGGCTTTCCAAAGAACTTTCTCTGCCAGTAGGCATAGGAATCTAGTCTTTTGCGCTCCAGAGAAGTGCTATTCTTTTTATGACTACTGTTCTTTTGTGAGGGAAAGATAGCATTCATCCAACTATATTGCTAATACACCTATAAATCTTGGAGCAAAGACCTATTAGAGCAGAGGGGTTTGCATTAGGTAATTCACCGTTTTCATAGGTGCCACTGCTGTTACTCTTCTTGCTATGTAGACAAATTTTCTACCAGAGCATAAAAAACATGGTCTTGGGTCCAACAAAATTTCCCGAGCCACCTGCATTTTTACCACAATCTTCTCATCTTCATAGCTCGACCTGAATCTACCATCAAGCTCAGTTTATAGCATTTTAGGGCTTCTGTAGTCTGCATCTTCAAACCTTTATAAACTCCTCCTGTAAACTGGGTGCAAAGGCTTCTAAATCAAAGGAATAGGCACAGCAAGGATTTCACCTCTGATAGCACAATCTGTGCCAGTCACCTTCTCATTCCTGGGACACAATACCCAAAACCCAAAACTTAGAGGAGAGAGGCTTATTTTGCCTCATGGTTATAGTTCCTAGCATGCACTTTCAAGATCTTCAGACTGTGTTGAACCTCCAGTAGGTTCAACACAGAAATGGATGCTATGGTGAAGTGCATAGTGGGAAAAAGCTGCTCATGTCATGATCACCTGGAAGGGGAGAGAGAGAGAGAGAGAGAGAGAGAGAGGTCATTCCAAGTCACACCCCCAGTAGTGACCTGGCTCTTGCAATCATTCCCCACCCTCTATCAGCAAGTCATTTAGATCACTCCCCTCCCCCCCATGCTTCAGTCACCTTCCAAAGTCCCCACCTATGAGGACATGAGGCCTTTGGAGATATTCTTTTTTTTCTTTTTTTTTTTTAGTGGAACTGGGGATTGAACTCAGACCCTTGCGCTTGCCAGGGAAGCGCTTATTCTTCTGAGCCATCTCCCCGGCCCCCGGGATATTCTTGATTGAAACCATAAATCACTTAAGAGCAAGAGCACCATCTAGCTCAGCCCCACCTGAATTTCTGACCCACAGAATTAGAACTTCAATTATTGTACTAAGCCACTAAAATTAAGGGGGATTTTTTTTTCCCATAGAAATAGATAACTGATGCAGGTCCCTGAGAAAACAAGAAAGAGGTCTGCTCCCAGTTGGACTAGGTAAGATCAGAAAGACTTTTAGTGAGGTTGCGATCTGAAATCAGTGAGTTACCAGAAGCTAGGAAGCCAGAGCAACTGGGTCTTATCTTGAGAACACCAGGAGATAGGGCATGGGAAACCAAGGTAGGGAAGGAGCCTGGGATACAGTATGCAGAAGAAATAAGGACAAGGACCCTTGAGTACCCTGGGGAATAAAATAAAGTTTAATAATTAGAAGGAGCAGCTTTACCCATGCATGATTTGCAGGCACTCCCTTCTTGCACAGGGTAGGTACTGAGCATGTCACTGGGGTAGATTCCCCGAGATATGAAATTCTGGTTCATGAGCATGAGGTCGCCAGGAAAATCAGCTAAGGGAAGGAGATTTCTGTTTGTTAGGCCTGTGATGAACCGTTCCTGTGTCCTTCCAGGAAGGAAAGGTTTGCAATCCTTTGGTTGGCATGGTAAACATTTTTTTGCTTCTTCTGATTTAAAGATGACATTCATTTTTATTTCTTGTCTTGTGGCTTTGCTCTCTTTCTCCCTCTTCTTCTCTTGCTTGATCTTATCACAATAATTACTGTCAGAACGGCCCCCATCTTTTCTCCCATTGCCGTTTGCTGTTGGCTCTACAAACACAACCCTCTTGAGTCTTTCAACACAGGATGAAACCTTCTTCTTTCCCAGGGCTTGGGCCAGCCGCACCCTCTCTACATGCTTGCTGATGTTGGTCTTCTCCCGCTGGGGCATCTTGAACTCCTCAGCAGGCACAATTACTCGTGCTGTCCAGATTTTTCTTATAGGTTCACACACGACACAAGGAGGGGAGAGCTGTTTCTTACATTCTATTGCCTGTTTGTAGTCTGGATGTGGTTTCCGCAGTTCCCTCACCTTCTTCCGTTCTTCTTCTTGTTTGGAAGCCAGCAGCCTCCTTGTGGCTACGGTATGAGCTCCACCTAGACGCTGGTGATAAGAGAGGACTGTTAGAGTATCCATGCGCAGAGGCAGGCAGACCTCTTAGGAAGAGGTAGCTAGTGGTTGGCTGGCCCTTCATTGCTGTGAACAGCGTGAAACAGGGTGGACCATTTGGGTCAGACGAGCCTGAGTTCAAATCCTGACTCTCTTCTCTGTACTATGAATTGGCAAGAATGGTACTGACTTTAGGAGCCACCTGAAGCCTCAACAAGACAATGTCTGTGAAAATAATGAGTATAGGATCAGGACTTAACAGAGGGCATCTATCATCTGTACTTATTTAGGGTCACAGTCCTAACTGAGTCTTTTAAGTGAGAGAGTACTGAATTTTGCTGTGCAAGTGTGGAATCATCCACCAGCAGACCCAGCCAACCTGAGTCCTCTGTTGGGAGACTTTTTGTTGTCAGTGGGTTTGGAATCGAGGACTTCCTCCTGCACTTCAGTGAGCTGGGGGGCATCAGAGAGGCCTCTCAAAATGTGAACTCCAGGCCACTTACCAAGATCTCTTTCTCCAAGGGGGAGTATTTTCCTAGGGCAATGCGTGGATCTGATTGGTTGAATGTTTTCCATATTCTGAAAGGCAGAGAGGTGGGTGGGTTAGAACTCTGGAGAGGGTCTTCCTAGCTATCCTTCTCAGAGCATGAAATCCCAGGGGTGTAGCTTTCCATTAGCCAAGCAGAGGCCACCTGTACGTGGCCACACTCACCGCAGTGGTGACGCAGGACACAGATCTTCTAGGCTACTCCGGGAAGCTTGAGATAAGCAGTAACAGCTATCACTAAGGACTGTGACTGACTTTCCATTACTGGTTGGCTTTTCCTCTGCAGTGTCCCTTTCTCTGGTCCCTGGATGTCCAGACCTCTGCGTTCCAGCCTTTGGACAGCCTCTCTCCCAATCTCTGATCATACTCTGGCAACAGACTTGGATGGAAGATGTTAATGCCTGGAGCTTGTTTCTAGGACAGTGTAGTGGAAACCCACGGGAGAGTCACAGCATTTGCTGCATCACAACTGGCTCACCTGAGGGCCATTGTGAGGTTTGCAGGAAAAGCACTCATGACCAAGGGGAAGAAGAGATGCTTCAGCAGACTGGCAAGTTGGAGTAAGGGAGGGGAAGGGTAGAGTGTGGCTGGAAAGTGGGCTGGCTTCTCAGCTCTTATGAGATGAGGTGGACTTTACATTATCTAGGGAATCTCTCCCCCTGGGACTTTCCTGCCTCTCCAGCCTTCAGTGCCTCATACTTGATGTGTGCTGCTCTGGGAACAACCATCTAAGCTACACTCATGGTGCCTTCTTTCTGGAACACCTCTATGTCCCTTGGCAACTCGTTTATGTCTCAGGCCTAGCTTAATTGCTACGTACTCTGAAATCCTTGCTGACCCAAACACCCCCTTGTCCATGTCCTCGGAGTACTTTCTGTCCTGTGCTGTGGTGCTTTGCCACATGTTGATTTGATTGGCCAAAGAGCCTGTCTCTCCCTCTACTTAAAGCAGGTGTCAGGGTCTCTTATTCTTTGCCATACACTTGCTTAGCACAGGGCCTGGCGGAGTGCAGATGTTCAGTTTTCTGGCTCAGTAAACAACTGTCCAAGGTTCCTGATTAAAGGTGAGGTCAGAAATGTTGCTGATGGGAATGGATATTGCCACAACCTCTGTTGAAGCTAATTGGGCTATAATTATAGCTAATTACCCTATGGATGCAAAATTAAATACATACAAGGTTTAGGATGCAGCCTTATTTGGGGTAATAAGCCAAATGATAAATTCAAATGTCAATTGATAGAGGATTAGAGACTTACACCACAATGCAATACCACATAGATTCATAGGACTATGGGAATGAAAAAGATCAAGAAGGGCAGATCTGTGTTTATGTAGAACTATTACAAGAAGTAATGTTGGGCCACTGAGATAGCTCAGCAGACTAAGCACCTCCTTAGGCAAGCTCAGGGACCTGGGTTCGATCCCTGACACTACATGTTGTGCCAACCCTGACCTTGGGCACACTGAGCTGTATTACAGGCGTGGTGGCTCATGCCTGTAATCCCAGTGCTCAGGAGGCTGAAGACAAGAGGATCACTGTGAGTCTGAGATGCAGAGGGAGACCCTGTACCAAATACATAAAAAAAGAAGTAAGGGGCCAGGGAGATGGCTCAGTAGAATAAGCGATTGCCTGGCAAGCTCAAGGGCCTGAGTTCAATCCCCAGTTCTGGAAAAAAAAAAAAAAAAAAAAAAAGAATGTTAAATGCAAGAAGTACAAGCATGTATGTTTATCATTGTATAAAGGAAGTATAGGATAATACAAAAAAAAAACTAATAAAGACAATTGCATGAAGAACTTGCTGGCAGATGAAGAAGTGGTAGGAATAAGCCTTTTCCTTATATATACTATTATGTTGTCTTAAATTTACAACATCATTATATATTTGGAAAAGGTAAATTAAAAAAGTACAGAAGCAGTTTGGGGAGCAGATTGCCATGTTGTCTCTGATTAATAATAGTCCCGAAATTTATCTGTGACTCTGCCAGAAACTCTCAATTTATGGAAATGTTTAGACTTTGTCCAGCACCCAGGCCCGCATCGCCATCTGTGACATAGACGTGCTCCTCCTACCCACGCCATTAGCCAGCACAGTTGTGAACCTGGAAAGCGGCAGAGCGCGCTAAGCAGGACGGACGGGACGCTGACACTGTGAGCACGAACCTTCCCACTGGTGGTCCCGGCAGCTGCCGACTCGAAGGCACCTTGAGCGGCCGCACACACCTGGAGCCTCGCAAGCACTCAACAGGTATCTGTGGAGCAGGGGCTGCCCCAGGGAACGCCGCATGAAGGAAGGCTACCTTCCCATCAGGTCTTCTCACAACTTTCCAGTCCTATGCTCATAATTCGAGGCCGAACATGTAGTAGATGGTCTTCATTCTGTAAATATACAAATATGTAAGAAGGAAAGACGCAGGGCCATCAGCGTCTACTTCAGCCTGTGAACAGGCCAGGTGGGCAGCATTTGGCTGGTTGTACGTCAACAGTTCAGTCAACTCCACCTGTGCCTATGGAAGAGTCAGGGGTGCATTCCAACAGGTACAGGCAGATAAAGATGGCATTTTCTCAACACAATCATTCAAATGTCGTATATTAAAATGTCACAGTATATCCCATAAATAGGTACAATTCCTATATGTCAGCTAAAATTCAGATATAGCATGGCACACTCAGGCCAGGGCCTTCCAGACATTAGGAAAGCGGGGTGGGGTGGGTAAGGGCTGGCCTGGGAGTGACGTCGCCATGGCAACGGGGCTCCACACTGTGGGAAAATCTTTTTCTCACACCCAGTTCCACAAACTTCTGCTTTTATCTTACTTCCTAGTCTCATGTTTTATCTCTCTTTCCATTCTCAGGCTCGTTGCTTTTGTTTTATTTTCACAATCTCTCTCCCAATCATTTTCACAATGTTTCATTCTTGATGTGTACTTAGTTCTGTCTTGATTTGTATTCATAGCTACCAACTTCATCTGCTGCTTCATTTTCAAATATTTTTCTTTAACTGCATTTCATTTTCAATCTTCTATCATTTACTATGATTATTTTTTTGCCTGTAGTAATCATCTTTCATTTACTTATCATACAACACTTTTAAACGTTCGTACATATTGTATCAGTTTTCTCCACAGGAAAAGGAAATAGTAAAAGAGACTTATTTTACAAAACTGGCTCATGGGATTGTGAAGGTAGACAAGTACAAAATCTGTAGAATGGGTCAACAGCCCAGCATCCAAGTTCAAGCCCAAAAGTGGCCTGTTCGCAGAAGTTCCTCCTGGTCAGGGGAGCTCAGTCTTTTTTTTTTTTTTTGAATGTATTTAGTACAGGGTCTACAGGGTCACACTACACAGATGGGACTTGTAGTGATTTACCTGTTTTCAGCCTCCCAAATGCTGGGATTGCAGGTACGCGCCACCACGCCCAGTCTCAACTGCTATTTCAGTGCACGCCCCCGGAGGGAGGGGCTTGTGCGCATGCTGGGGATGGAACCCCAGCCACTGTGTTCTGCCTAAGCAGGTGCTTTCATCCACTGAGCTACTTGGCCAGCCCTGGGAGGTCAGTCTTTTATACTGTTGAGACCTCCAACTGATTGGACAAGGCCCGCCTACACTGGACAGAGTAATCTTTACTCAATGTCTGACTTAAATGTTAAACTTACCAAAAACACATTCACAGAAATATCCAGAGTAACAGATCAAGCCAAATATTAAGGTGCCACAGCCCAACCAAGCTGACACAGAAATGCAGTCACATCCACCTACATTTACTGGGTTTTTCGTGATTAGCTAAAATATTTCTTATAATTTTAAAATATTGGGCTTTTAGATTTGATGCATAATTTTAGCCTTTTGAACTATACATTAATAGACTCAGGGGCTTGTCTATTAAGCCAATAGATCAGTAGACTAAGCGCTTGCCTGGTAAGTGCAAGGGCCTGAGTTCAATTCTTGGTTCTGCCAAAAA